AAATGGAGAGACATAAGTATCGCTGAAATATTAATCCTACTATATTTTCGTTATATGCGGTTGTTGGCGATTCATTTATATCAAATTAAGAACATTGAAATAACTTTCTCGCTCAATTTATAAAACGTTAGTTAAAGCGGAAACATTTTCTCTAAAACTGGAAGGAGAATTATCTATATATATGGAGTCCTGTTTGATTTCATTCGTTCAGTTAGTTTTTATTTATGCTACGCTTTTCCTCGCAAAAGTTTTTCTTTGCCGACTGATTACGGATTGAATTATGTTCCAGGGATGCGTGAAAAATGTCCACAAATTTGTTTTAGATTTTATTCAGAGAAAGATAAAAGAATAATTATCGCGTCGAATAATCTTATTCGTTATAATATCCATTTGTCGAAACGAAATTTTTTATTAATATAATTGTTTATATTTTACTTTTTCTCGCTTTTCATCATCATCTAAATGATTTTATTAAAATAATATTATTCCATTTATGCGAACACTTCAAATAATTCATCCTCAATTTTCAGTTAACGAGTAAATGTGCTGTTCAAATCCAATTATTTGAATTATTCTACGTATTCGGATAAATTGAGCTGTGTCATATATTACATTTCTTTTCTGATAATTGCGTAATTTAACCTGAATTTTGTAGCGTTGTAACATGTTTAGTTGATCAATATATGCAGAAGTTATTATTAGAGTAATAGCTCCAATTACTCTAATTCTTGTTTTCATGCATATAGGAAATGCTATTGAAAATTAATCAACTATGCATTTGGGTGCGTTCAATGAAAACTATTAAATTTACATTACATTTAACATAGAAACCGGTTATTATACATTGATGATTAGTTTATGCGAAAATTGATCAGATTGAAAAACTTAGTTTAAAAATTTGATTAAATTGATTAGTATTGAAATTAGAAAAAGTTTAAATCTATAATTCAGAAGATAAACCCGATCAATAAATAAAAGAATCATTGACAAACTTTCATTGCAGATATTTTGCATATTGATCACCGATTTAAACATTTTTATGCGAGAAATAAGATTTTCTTTTCTCATAAAAATCGAAGAATTTTATTAATAATGCATCAGGTTAAAATTTATATATGATATTATCAAGATATCAAGATATTATCATTATTGCAAACGATAGATACGTTCAATTAGCAACCAACGGATAATTCGTAGAGGAATAGTTAGAAACGTGGTAGCGTTCCACTGGTAACCGGTTTTATTTTAATGAAATCGAGTCGTGAACGAAGCTGTTAATAGAGTTTACACGCAAGTAGCAAGTAACGAGGACTTAGTATGCGAGTCGAGGACAATGAAAAGCGTTTAAATTAAACGGGACGTGTAAATTCCAAGTGAATACGATGAAAAGCCACGTCTGGAATACGAAAATTTAGATGATAGACTTTAAAGGAGACTTCATCGATGATCCGAGGCTCAATGATGAATGACTTAGATAATGAAACGAGAATTTCGATATTATTCGATTTCAATTCTATTTCTGTGATTGTATTTATTTAAATTTGCATAAATATAAATTCTATTCATTAAAATACAATTAAAAGACAAAAATTAATTATTAAAAGGATGATTATTTATATAAAAGGATATTATTAAAAGTATTAATTTTTAAATACGGTATTAACAATCAATTAATATTGATTTAAGTTTCGTTTTGAATATAGAAAATGTTTAAATAACGAAATCTTAAATTTGTCTTTTAATTTCATTTTGTATTTTTTCTTTGAATCATATGATATTTTAAATATTCTTAAATTTTGTTATTTAAAATTGTATATATTCTCGTATATATTTTATATAATAAAATATATCTTGTTACACATTATCTTGATTCTATTTTTAAATATTAATAGATTCAATAAAGAATCAAGTGTAAAGTAAATTTTGAAATTTTTCTAGCGTTTCCTAAGCGCAACACGAATATACAGAAAACGGAATACATAAAAAAGTTATTTGCATACAAATGTGCAGTACGTAATTTGAATCATTTTTAAATATAAATCCGATATATCTTGTTTCCTCTTTTTTTTTTTTTTTTTTTTTTTACGGAATTCTTTAAATCGTTCAATTTCACAGATTTTCCACGGTAAACATAGAATATTCGTGTTTTCATTTACAAACCGAAGTACAACAACTCTCTCTGTTTACTTTTCCTCGAGCTTAAAATTGAATTAAATCGCGTATGAGCAACAAAGAACAAAAATTAAAATACACTTGCGATAGTCTGGCAAAGATGTGTCGGAATTCGTTCTCATTCGAAAAATCAACATTACCGAGCAATTTGTTTCGTTTACTGAAAAACCAACCGGCTGGTACATCCATCCTGTTCAATCTCCGAGTAAAATATAATTTTAACTGAAAATTACAGTTTTCGTTTTAATACGTTTCAGAGTTAAAGCACACGTGAAATGTTTGAAATTAAAAAGGGGGGCGGCTCTCTGATTCTTGTTACGATCGTCGAAATACGATATTCTGAAGAGAATGGAATGGAATGGAAGTTTCGTATAAATAATAATCATGAACACGAAATAGGGAGCGTAATAACAAAATAATTCCATATTGGACGATTAATCCTTTGATAAAATGTTCACCATTCGATGAAATAATAAATTCGTATATAGTTACAGGCCTCTCCTGTTTCCATTGAAAATTGCACGATAAGTTCGTGGGAGAGAGCCCTTGACGATATAAGCCAGCCGGATTAAAGTGCTCGGGATAAGCATTTATGTTCTCTGAACGTTTTCATTCCTTTATTATTTCGAAAGTCTGACCAATGGACAGCCAATGTATGGGAAGAAATAGTTTAATTAAAAAGAAAAATAAATCTTGAATTTATAAATAAAAATAATCTATAGAAGATGGAATAATATCTATCGTATTGCATTTTATTTGCAATTAATTAATTAACAAACTCTTACAATTAGATTAATAATAGATTCTTCTTTTAATAGAATGTTATATCTTTTTAATATTATGAAACATGAATAATTTTATAAAGGAACTGGATGAAAAATTCTGATACATAAGTTATTCGAACTCGAGTATTTTAAATTTTCCCTTCTACGATGAAATATAAAAATTTCAAGACCATATCTATTTTTTATCATCACAGCATAGAAATCACGATGAATCCAATGATCCTATAATATCAATGCAACGAAGAAAATAGCTGCGAATTATTCTGTCAGTTACGACACATGAAGGCTACGCTATAAAAATATATATCTCCAAAAACATGCACTTAAAAGTTTTAAAAAATCCATTGGAAAATAAAAATTCTTTTATCTTCCAGGATCCAATGAAATTTCCTTACGATACAATTTAATTGTTTGCCACTCGGCTCGTTTCATCGGCGATTTAAACTCGCGACAGCCCGGAATGAAATTTTTCGAGCGTGCGGGACGGATCCGTGATGGAAAAGCCTTTATTGCATTACATGAAACAATTTTCCAACGTATCGGGGACGCGCTCGCATAAATAGCGAAATTGTCCGGATTACAGGCGGGCACGATCGCGTTTGATTAAAATCCGGGGACGACCCGGGCACACTCCGCTGTGCTTTTTTCGATTGTAGGTCCAATTTCGAGCCGAGCACATTGTTTTTCGTTCTCGTTATTACCGTAGGCGCTTCCTTGCGCGAGCACACAACGCGATGACGGCGTGCAAACGTGTTTCCCACTCGCGTTACATACCGTTCGTCCGATGCGAATCAACTTTTCGAAAGTGTGGGATTATACGAGGTGGATTGTGTGGATGGGTAAATGGAAAGAATTTCCCGATGGAAATATTCGAGCGATGTCTTCGATATGAATATACACGTGAATAAACAACGAAGGAAATCAATAGGATGTGTTAGAAAAGTTAACCTCTTAGGATGTATTCGTAACTGAAGTTATTTCAATATAATCGTCAAATGTTTAATAACTTTGATATCTATAAGACATCTTGTATAAAACTATCACGAAAAATTGCGAATATTAAATTTAAATTATAACCTAATCCAATATCTATTATTGGATTGGTTATTGCTTTCAAATTAATTGATTTTTTTTCTTCTTTTTGATATACTTGGCATTTGATAAGTTAAATGTGTTTAATGTTTTGAAAATGAATAATAAAATTTTTGACAAATTCTAGTCTATAGATATTGAAAGATATCTGAATAAACAATATTCAATGTATTAGTTGTTATATTGTTTCAATTTATAATACAAAAAGTTTTCTATTATAATTTCACCTAGTAAATATTTATATATTTAAAATATATTATGTTTATTCAATAAGTATAATTGATTACTATTATAATAGTCATAATAGTAATATAATTTGATCATTGTAATATTTTTGTAGAACTACATTGTACAATGTATGATTCGATTGAATCAACGATGAAAGATCAAATTTTTATCGAAAGAAAGGAGCACATCCTCTCGATTTGATTAATGGCTATATTATGAGACAAATATGTGCAACGGAAAAACTTATTCGCCGCGGATAAAGTGAAAAAGAGAGCAATGAGGCACGTCATATCGATGTTTTTTCTCGCGCGTGCAGCCACTATATCCGTGCGCGTATTTACATAATGTATTTACACAATACTGGTCATGATATATATACATATATATATTATATATATATATATATA